AGAGAGAGAGAGAGAGAGAGAGAGAGAGAGAGAGAGAGAGAGAGAGAGAGATAGAGATCGAGATCGCTCTCTCGCGATCGCTAAAAATGGTCACGTTAGGCAAATTAGAACGAATTGTTTCGGTGTCGGTGCTGTTTTGCCTGGGGGACGTCCGCGGAATCCTTGGCTCGCCGAAGAAGCGAAATTAATTAACCCGGCCGCGGCGGCCATTCTTCGGCGGTGATCAATCTCAATAGAAATCACGGGGCGACGTGGCGGCGAGGCGGATCGATCGACAAATTTAACCGGCGCTAAATAGAGGAAGAATCGAGTAATTGGGACACGCCTGAAACGCTGACAAATGTGTCTGACCATTGCTCGACAGTTCTACTTGAGGATGAACCACTTACGAAACTTTTTTCGCCGAATCAGTCCGGTGATCGAGCAATGAATAAAAAAAAACGACCTGAAAGAGCATTGGTCTCTTCTAAATTTGTCATTCTCCCCACTTGCACGCGATTTTCTATCGCTGTTGTACGTACAAAATTTCCTTCCATAATAAAGATGATAATAATTTTATTCAAAAGAATTTGTTACAATAAAATAATGATATCATCGATAAATAACGATAACTCGATATATCGTTAAGCATTGATATTTCGGCGATAGTATCGATATATCGTCAAATATCGTTCATTATCGATACTTTATCGTTAAATATCGATGTATTAACAGGTATCGATATTTTATTGTTATGTATCGATATATCGTTAGCTATCGACTTATTGTCAAGTATCAATATATCGTTAAGTATCGATATGTTGTCGAGTATCGATAAGTATCGATAAGATCGATATATCGTTAAGTATCGATAGGATCGATAAGATCGATATATCGTTAAGTATCGATAGGATCAATATATCGTTAAATACTCATATCGTGTAAGTCCGTTCAATGTATCGTTAAATATCGATATACTATCAATTCGTTCGATATATCGTTAAGTGTCGATGTGTTATCGACAAGATATCGACAGGAAAATCGACAAGATATCGACAAAAAAAAACGACGAGATATCGATACAATATCGATAATCGGTAATCACATCATTGCGAGAAGAGTATTTCGTGTACGTTCCTCGCCGAGGATGTTCGCATCACCCCGCGGCAGTAATCAATCGCGAAGTTTTTAATAAGACAGAGTCGCCGAGCCTTTTTATCCTGTAAATGTTCTCGCACGCGGCGCATTAACTTTTCCGCGGAGCCATAAGGTCTTTTCCCGTGGCGGCCGGAGGTCGACGTGGGGTCGGTAAAAGGGTAGAGCGGAAAGTGCGAACGAACGAAAGAAAGATGACGAATCCACGCGGAGTAGGAAGTTCATAGCCGGGGTAACTTTCGCGTAGGATATTCGCCGCGATTTCTTTCCCGCCGGGTGGCAAAGTGGCGAGGCGAGAGACTCGGCCGGAAGTTTTCCCGGCGGTGTGCGCGCAGGTGTGTCGCCGAAGAAAATAAAAAAGGAAAAAAAAAGAGAAGAAAACGAACCCAGCCGAATCTCGCTCCGAGCCCCAAACCCCGCGCGAACACCTTGCGCACCCCGTACCCCGCTCGGACTCTTTGTCGCAGAAGGCGCGGCAGGCTCCTTTTTTAATTTTCCTTCCCGAAGAAAACTCGTTTCCGGGACGAGGCCCCAGGATGCTCGATTTCCCGGCGGCCGGTCGCTATTGGTGCCCGGGAAACCGTTCCCATCGATCGTAGACCACGGGCAGCCATGAGCCTTAGGCTGGCATAACTATAATAATAGTAATAATAATGATAATAATAATAATAAAATAATAATAATAATAATTTATTAGTACACATATACAGGACGACGCTTTGTCAATATAAAAGCAATTGCCTGGGTATAATTACAATTGTATTTAAGGAATATAGATGGAACAATAATATATAACGAGCGAGTAAGAAGTAGTAAAGAGATTAATATAAATACAATGAAATAATATACAAAGTAAAAATTACCAGTAGTACTCACAGTCAGCGTCGAATGTCGGATGATTCATCGGTAGTACCCAGCAAGCGTAAGACGTTGGCTGACCATACTCAGCGTGGATTGTCACCGCGGATGACTCACCGCTAGTACCCAGCTAGCGCCGGACGCTGGATGACTCACCGCAAGTATGACTCACGCTGGATAACTCACTACTAGCCAGCTAGCGTCCGACGTTGGCTGACTAGAGCCAACGCTAGTGACTCATCCGCAGTACCCGATGTGTATCGCACGCTGGGGACTATGCTCCCCGCTGATGACTCATCCGTAGTACCCGATGAGTTGCACACATTAAGTACTAGACGTTGGCTGATTATGGTCATCATTTCACGTGCTGCTTTTACAGTTTCTTACGTAATTTATTCAGTTTCGTTATAAATACATAAAATCCGCAGTCCAGTCATACTCTCTAAAAATATCGCAATCTATAAACGTGAAAATTGTCATAAAAGTACTCATTAATTTTTGAGTATAAATTATTTCCATCCAAATGTCGAATTCAAATTACTAGCATAAAAGCTGCCAATTACGATTACAAAATTATTAACGAGTGTCCCTTACCGATTTGTTTCAGCTTACTGTAACAGCAGAAGCACCCTGGCATCGCTGTGCTCGTCCATCACGGGAGATGCGCTGCTCTACTCGATGTTCCGGGAGGAGGCGACACCTGTTCCATGCCCGTTCCGGGGCCCCATGACCTTCTCGTACAACCGGGGCCACGGGACTTGCTCGATCCCAGTGAGCAACGTCGACACCTGCACAGACGACAGCAGGCTGCTCTTCAGATACCAGGCGTGCCCGGACATACCCGCGTCGGAGAGCGCAGGTCAGTGCTCCTATGATTTCCGATCAATCGGAGGACAATTTATAGAAACGCGCGGTTCCGGTTGTTTTCTCCTCTCCTTTTTTTCGCCCTGTCGCTCTCTGCCGATTGATTGTATTCCCCGAAGATCAGAATTTCCGATGGAATTCGTTTGGCTTCGCTGAAAGAAAATGTGATTTCATGTTTATTTAAACGCGAACGTTCGAACGGTCCGCGGATCTGCACGCGTTTACGGTATCTGCGCTATTTCGGAATGCTGGCAACAGCGCGTTTGTGCCGTTACATAAATTCGACGAGGTTTTAAGGACGTACAGCCATTGTTGCGATGTTCTACGTACCGAGATTTTCTGNTTGATGGATTGAATGGTAGATGATTTCGAGAGTAACAGTACACTGATAACGTAGAATGACGGGCTTCTTATCGTATTACTCGCAATATCCTATAGTCGGTGTAAAAAGTATCGGTACACCCTTTTAAAACGGAATAACCTTTTTTTATAATTAGGGCAAGCGCTCGACATTTTTTTTCACATATTACTGGACAATCAGTTTACTGGGCAATTGACGACAAAAATTGTTTTAAAAAATTACGTTTGGTTGGTTCGGATGACAACGAAATTAAAAAGCGACGTTTTTTCAACTTCTTCATCGGAGCCTATAACGAAAATTTCATAAATGCGCTTTATAATAAATAATTGCGAAGATATGCTAAATATGCAGGCTGGGTCGATATGAGCTACTATCTAACATAACTTGGTTCCTATCTATTGTGACAGAAATGTTTTGAACGAATTAAGTTATTCCGGATAATAGTTCTTACTGACTCAGCCTATATAAGTTGAAATGATACAACCCTTTATATATATTATTTTTTTTTTTTATATATATATCATTATATATATATATATATATATATATATATATATATATATATATATATATATATATTGATTATTGTTATATATATTAAATTTTTTCACTAAAAGGAATCGTTTATTATGATTTATACGCTTTTCGAGTATATCGATGAAGTCGACAATCAATCTAGGAATAAATAAATAAAATTGAGTGAACATCAATAGTCCATGAATTTCCAAGTAAATCGCCATTTTTCTTGATTATTCTACGGGAATCAGAATGAGATAAAAATTGATTATACTTCCTGAATGGTCCTCAAGCTAAAAGTAAAGAGAAGGGTCCCGAAAATGAGATTTATTCTAATTGAAATATCTCAGTGTTCAAGGTTATTTGAAGATCATACTATAATATAGCAAATGAATACAATAAAAAATATGAATAAACTATACAATAAGTGGAAATGTTTATTTCTACTCACACCATGTTCAAAATGTTAAGAAATAAATTCGATACACGAAAACAACGAAAATACTTTTATATCAAAAACTTTGATAAAAGTCACCTATAAAAACCTATTTCAAATATTTAATCGACGTTATCCAATGAAAGGGAATAATATTATAGCGTGTATCCTTTCGCCGGAAGCCATTTCTACTTAAAATTTCAATAGATATGCTTCATATAGGAGAACAAAGTTGAATTTAATTTGAATCAACGGCTTTTCCGTAGAGTGTTCCTGAAATCAAGTTACACGGCTCGATTCTCCGATTAAAACCGAGTCAAAAAGGTGCAACGACATTTTCCCGTGCGACGCTTCGTTCTCGAGATAATTAGGATTAAAAGTGGCGGTGCCCGCGCGGCAAGTAGAACAAGTCAGCCACGGTCAGACGCGCCCCCAGGAAATTCAAACGCGATTACCTCGAAAACGGAGCGTCCTATCGAAAAACTTTCCTCCACGTTTCCGATCGAGTTTCGCCAGCGGAATCGTCTCGCGCGCACATCTCGCCGCGACTTTCAAAGCCACGCGTACAACGATCGCGTTTTACATTTAATGTTCCGCCGGATGAAATATCGCCGGACAGTTCGCAAGCCAATAAAAATGCGCCGAACGACGGCGGTTGTGCACGATGCGAGAAGAGGGTTTTTCTTGGCTCTCCATGGGGCTCATTAATCAATCAAAAACCGGTTGTCTGCGCGAAACGGCGAACGAAAAAACAACGGCGCTCTCGAGCTGTCCAATCCTCGCGTTGCTCTCCCGCATTGTTTCCCGGGCTTTTCGCGGGTTTACATCGCGTAACACGACTCGATTTAACGCGGACACGGTGTAGCCCGCGAGTGTTCGAGGCAAACGCCCGTCAAAATGAAAACAATTCCGGTCGAATGCAATCCGACGAGACGTATCTTCGACTGGCCGGCCCGGCCCGACCCGGCCCGGCGGAAGCAGTTCAGCCAATCGCGCGAAGCATTTTTAAAAATGATACCGGCGCGTCGTGGTTACCGCTCTACCTCCTCCTCCTCTCTCTCACTCACTCACTCTCTCTCTTTCTCTCTCTGTATCGCTATCTGCATCGCGATTACACTGTCTACTGATTTTTTTTTTTTGCCACAATGTACGGCCACTTCGACCGGTGCACTTTTTTTTTATCGTTTATAGTTGTCTGCGCGGTTTTCCAAACGAATCGAGTTAATAGAACAAATTCTGCGGCGACAGTTGCGTTCGTGGAACTTCTTTTTTCCGTTGCGACAGGCACTGTGGCATTTTCCGGCTTAACTGATAGAGAACAGACAATTCTGAATCGGTTTTAAATGTTTGCCGAGTTTGCACGAAAGAATTTTTGGCACGGAGTGTACAGAAATGTTACGGTGTAATGCATTTTGACAGAGACAATGAATTTCTTTATGTTTTTGGGGGATAATTGTTCATTTTTCTTTTGTTTATTTATTTGTTTAAGGGACGAAGTTCTGTACGTTAAATTATATTATATATTACACATACAATACCATGTATAAATTATTACGGTAAATTATATGAAATTATATGAAATTATATGAAGGATATGAACTTATATGAAATTGTATGAAGAATATGAAATTATATGAAATTGTGTATGAAGAATATGAAATTATATAAAATTATATAAAATTATATGAAATTATATGAAATGATATAAAATTATATAAAATTATATAAACTTATATAAATTATATAAAATTATATAGGGGTACATTGATACACATTTGGTTTCACTTCATAAACATTGTACAAACGAGAGACGTATTTCGTCGAGACGTGTTTCAACAAATCTCTTGTCCCAAGTAATTAGCTCAAATAAATATTCTATAAATCGTGGCTTACAAAATACACGAGATTACCCCAGTTTCCCCTGAAGCACGTTGCCTTGACGAAAATGGACGTACATATTCGGGCTTCGTTCTCGGCCGGCGACTTCCACCGCAAGAGGCAGTCCCTTCGAGGTCAGTCGAAAAAAAAAGAAAGAGAAAATACCGAACTCGGAATTTCCCACGAACTTTCGCGGCGAAAGACTTCCCGCAGAACTCGCAAGAGAGCCCCGGTTCCAATGAGATTTTCAACGGCGCCCGACTGCGGGAAGAAGGGTGCGCTCGGCCCTTCGAAAATAGGGAAATTGTTCGCACCCGAGATTCGATCGGAACTTCGGGCACAGAAGTTTAACGAAGTCCAAATGGGGCGAAACGTGATGGCGGTTTTGCGAACCGGGGCGACCTTCGTTAGGGCGCGAAAGGGACGATTCGCAGTTCGTCTGGCTGTTAATCCCGTACCCTGGCCACTCGTTTAATGTAACGGTTGTTTCGAGAAATTAACAACCGTCTGGCCCGTCTTTCGTCCGAGTCCCATACCCTCTTATGAATCCGAGGAACATCGAAGCCCGTAAAAAAAGGGATATGAAACGGACGACTTAGATTTAATCCTTAAAAGTGATCTCTTAGATAAATGCAATTTAATACAGTCTAATTTGATTTCATTTTTATTTGATTGTTTATTTAAATTTTGTTTGTTAGAATCTATGTAAAATACTTCCTCGGACATTAGTTTCTAAAATAATTTATTTTTTCCGTATATTTTTTGTATACTATGCTATAATATATATTATATACTATTATATACTATACTATACTATACTATATGTTATATACTATTATATACTATATATATACTATACCATACTATAATATATATTATATACTATTATATACTATATACATATACTGTACTATACTATATTATCATAGTCCTTTATCAGTGTATTTTGGTTAACCTACAACGATTGGTTTAAAAAATAATATTCTTGCAAATATTTTTTCAGAAATAACAACTTTCAAGCTCCCCAAATCGTTTGTCATTTTATTCTAACTTCTATTTAATTTTTAATTCAATTTCTAAATAAAATCCACGAGGAGAAATTTGTTTAACCAGTTGTTTCGATTCGATCGCATTTAAAATTTCTTTTGACCTTGAAATGATTGGTTCAATCACATAATTAAGTCCTACATAACAAAATCATCGACAAATTTTTGAACTATTAATAAACAAATTACAGCTTCCAGGAACATTCAAATCGCGCGGTCCAATCTCCCGAAATTAATTAACGTCTCCCAACGCACGGCCCAATTATAAAGATGAACGATCGAGAGACATCTCTCCGCGACGCGGTCGAACGCGCCACCCCGTATATTAATGCGTATTAATAAGATGCACATATCTCAGGGATCTGTATGCGCCGTAAAGATCGGTCTCGGAACGAATTTGCAATTCGAACGAGCCCGCGGCGAAGTCAAGGTTGTTCCCCGAACGTGGCTGCACTGGCACGCACAAGAAATAATGTCGCTGCGTCGTTAATCCGGAGTCAAGATCATCGATAAGAGAGGCATGAGGCTGGTCGGTTCGACGCGGATTTATCTTTTTCCCTTGGCCTGCGTCCTTCCGTTTAATTTCTCCGCCGCAGAAACCGTCCGGCCCGCAAATCCCTTATCGGATGTGCGTCTAATGGCGGACGTCGGCACCCTCCGCCGGAAATCGAGCATCCCGGACCGGGGGGGGGGGCGACGGCTCCGGAGCAACAGCAACGAATGCACGGACGAAAATCACTTCTAATCGCGAACGCCCC